CATGCGCTGGTTGCCTAGGAACATGCAAAGGTCACATGACTGAGATGCTGCCTATGTAGAGCATTCCAGATTGATCACTTGTGATGTACCATAACCTTTAAAAAGGTTTCTAAGGAGGCAGAAGAGAGAAAGGAATCTAACTAATGCAGTCTTTGGAAAAGAGCCTATATGTTAAATGTTTCTGCACTGTACTCCCAGAGTCCGTATTTTTTCTTTTTCTCGCAATACACAAGAGAAATGACAATAAAAATCACTTGAAATGAGATATGCTTTAAGGAGGTTCACTCCATTCTTCACACTTACCCTTTCTACTTTCTTCTGACCTGGAAGGTGTCTCTGAAAAAGGAAAAATAATGTGTCCTTTATGCATGTGTTGACAACTAAATTCTATATTTTGCTTAGCAATGTGTTTTAGATAATGCAACATCTTAGTTTGCGTAATTCTTGTAATTATGCGTAGTCTTGTAACACTGGCTTTCTAAAGCCACCTGACTTAGACTAGACTTATCACATGGTTGCATGAACATTTCAAAACTCCTTCACCTTCGACACTGCCTGACACATTACTTTTTTCATGAGAAATAGGTAAATAAGCTGAGAATAGAAAGGACTCTCAGGTACACTCTTAAAAATAAAGGTGCTTCAAAAGGTTCTTCACAGCGATGCCATAGAAGAACCATTTTTGGTTCCACAAAGAACCATTCAGTCATAGGTTCTTTAAAGAACCATCTCTTTCTTACCTTTTTGTAATCTGAAGAACCTTCTTTCGCCACAAAGAACCTTTTGTGAAACAGAAAGGTTCTTCAGATGTTAAAGGTTCTTTATGGAACCATTTAGACAAAAAGGTTATTCTATGGCATCGTGAAGCACCTTTATTTTTAAGAGTGTAGGGCTGGGTATCGATGCAGATGTCCCAATTCGATTCGATTTCGATTTGCAAGCTCTCGATTCAATTCGATTCTCTATTTTTTGATTACATTCAGTGAATATAGTTTTAATACAAATGCTATTGATATTTCTAAAAAATTAACAGTAAACATGAGTTTACAAATGGTGAATTAATAAAAAGAAATTAAGAACCACATGCCTGTATTTTAAACCTATTCTTTTTTTGTATAGGGTCCTTTTTTAAACAATGATAGGGCCCTATAAAATGTTCTTAATTTTTCTGGTAATCAGATGAAGGCATAAAACATTAATTTAATTTATCCTAATCAAATGAAAATTAAACCCAAACAAATTGCTGCACTACAGAGGTTTACTGTTAAAATTAAAAAGAAAACAGATCTGATCCTTTAAAAATAAAGATGTATTAATATTTATTAGCAGTAG